ACAAGAAAATCGATGAAGTTTAGCAATTTCTGCCTCACTTGTCGAATGCTGATGAAAGAGCTTTCGTGATAGTAAACAGAGATGGTGATTATGCAATAGTAAAAGGACGTTGGACTGGTTTCTCGAGAAAACAGGTAATTTCAACTGACGAACGGCCTGCTAGCTCAACCTTCCAATTTTAGCCTGCCGTCAAAGGTCAAAAGGCGAAACCTGGCTCTCCTGGACGTTTACTTGTAGACGCTTTCAATCTGTTGAAGAATACTGTACAGAAAATCGAAGTACCGTCAGTTGAAGGCTCAACGGTGTTTGTCATTGGAGGTGAGCATTTACGGAGCTGCCATCTGACTAACTTCATCTCCATCCAAAAAGTTGACTGCGTGGGAATTTCATGTGTAGATCTTTCTTTCGTGAATTTTAAAAGCTTCTACACTCTGATGATATTCTGACAAATTACATCTGAATTGTAATTTGCTTGGACTGTTGCCCGTACATTTCTGTGCAGTAATGTTTTCTTTTTTTCGCGATAAAAAAAGTGTCAGTTTTGCAAAAACTAATAAATACCCAACTAATTCAAAAAAGCTATTTCAGTTTTGAAATTGTTACTTTGTTACACGTATCTTTGGCGTTCGGCTACATTGAAGTAATTTAACTTACTCATGTAATGTATTGCTGTACCGGATTTTCTAGTTTTCCAGATGCGCAGGCCCGTCTGCAAGGTAAACGAATTGAAGTCCGATCAACAAATACCGCTGAACAGATTGCTTCTGTATTTTGCGTAGCGACTTTGTTCGTATTATGCAACCCGGATAAGGTAAGTCGTTCTGCGAATTGATCGCATCTTTGTCGTGGATAATCGTTTATGCAGACAATCTTTGTCACCCCCAAATGTCTAGCAAGAAAATAAGAGTTTGTAGTTTTTTCTTCAACTGTTTGATCAGAAGTTGTCACAACGCTTGATGACATAAAAAGTACAACATTCCAGCTGTCACTGTTAGAAGGATAGTTGAATATAAACTGTTTTTTTTGGAGGAAACCTGCTACTATTCTTTTGTATTCTCTCAATTACAGATTCGATCTCGCAATGATACTACTGCAATAGGTCACCAAGCTCACAAATGGCCACTAACACTGGCATGCGGTTACGGTAGCCAAATACCATCGAATCGCATGTTGCAGTCTCGAGATACCGAAGGTGGGTATTTGCAAATTCTGACTTTTGGGTAGTCGCAGGTTCTCGTAGTTTTACGAGTTGTTTTTTCGAATTTTAGGACTCGAACTGACTCCATTAATGGCGGCCATGTGCGGTCCAAGCGCTATTGATGCTGCAGCGTGTGGAGCATGTGGCGCCTGCGGCGCGTGTG